GTGTGAAGCTGACTTAGTCATGGAGGATAAGCTTTTTAATGTGCTGCTGGATTTGGTTTGCCTGTATTTTGTTGAGGATTTTCTCATCGATGCTCATCAAAGATATTGGCCTGACATTTTTGTGTGTGTTTGTGTCTCTGCCAGGTTTTGTATTGGGATAATGCTGACTTCAAAATAAGTTAGGAAGAAGTCTCTTTTTTTTCTATTGTTTGGAATAGCTTCAGAAAGAATGATACCTACTCCTCTTTGTACCTCTAGTGGAATTCAGCTGTGAATCTACCTGGTCCTGGGCTTTTTTTGATTGATAGGCTATTAATTATTGCCTCAATTTCAGAACTTGTTATTGTTTTATTCAGGAATTTGACTTCTTCCTGGTTTTGCCTTGCGAGGATGAATGTGTCCAGAAATTTATTCATTTCTTATAGATATTATAGTTTATGTTCATAGAGATGTCTCTGCTGGTTGGTTTGTATTTCTGTTGGATCAGTGGTGATATCCCCTTTTCAGTTTTTATTTTGTCTATTTGATTCTTCTCTCTTTTTGTTATTTATTAGTCTGGCTAGTGGCCTATCTATTTTGTTAATCTTTTAAAAAAACAGCTTCTACATTCATTGATTCTTCAAAGGCGTTTTCCTATCCTTATCTTTTTCAGTTCTGCTCTGATCTTAGTTATTTCTTGTCTTTTGCTAGCTTTTTGTTTTCTCTTACTTCTCTAGTTCTTTTAATGGTGATGTGAGGGTGTAAATTTTAGATCCTTCTTGCTTTCTGCTGTGGGCACTTAGTTACATAAATTTCCCTGTAAACACTGTTTTAGTTGTGTCCCAGAGATTCTGGTATGTTGTGTCTTTGTTCTCAGTGGTTTTAAATGCTTATTTTTGTCTTAATTTCATTATTTACCCAGTAGTCATTCAGGAACAAGTTGTTCAGTTTCCATGTATTTGTGCAGTTTTGAGTGAATTTCTTAATCCTGAGTTCTAATTTGATTGCACTGTGGTCTGAGAGACTGTTTGTTATGATTTACTTTCTTTTGTATTTGCTGAGGAGTTTTTACTTCCAATTATGTGGTCGATTTTAGAGAGAGTGATATGTGTTGCTGAGAAGAATGTATATTCTATTGATTTGGGGTGGAGAGTTCTGTAGATGTCTATTAGGTCCACTTGTTCCAGATCTGAGTTCAAGTTCTGAATATCCTCGTTAATTTTCTGTCTTATTGATCTGTCTAATATTGACAGAGGGGTGTTAAAGTCTCCCACTGTTATTGTATGGGAGACTAAATCTTTTGGTAAGTCTCTAAGAACTTGCTTTATGAATCTGGGTGCTCTTATTGGGTGCATATATATTTAGGATAGTTAGCTCTTCTTGTTGCATTGATCCATTTACCATTATGTAATGGCCTTCTTTGTCTTTCTTGATCTTTGTTGGTTTAAAGTCTGTTTTTTCAGAGACCAGGATTGTAACCCTTGTGGGTCTTTTTAAATTTTGCTTTCCATTTACTTGTTAAATCTTCCTCCATCCATTTATTTTAAGCCTATGTGTGTGTTTGCATGTGAGATGGGTCTCCTGAATATAGCATACCAATGGGTCTTGACTCTTTATCCACTTTGCCAGTCTGTGCTTTTAATTGGAGCATTTAGCCCATTTACATTTGATGTTAATATTATGTGTGAATTTGATCCTGTCATTTGATGCTAGCTGGTTGATATGCCCATTAGTTGCTGCAGTTTCTTCATATTGTTGATGGTCTTTACAATTTGGTATGTTTTTGCAGTGGCTGGTCCTGGTTTTTCCTTTCCATATTTAGTGATTCAAGAGCTCTTGTAAGGCAGGCCTTGTGGTAACAAAATCCCTAAGCATTTACTTCTCTGTAAAGAGTTTTATTTCTCCTTCACTTATGAAGCTTAGTTTGGCTAGTTTGAAAACTGTTTTCTTTAAAAATGTTGAATACTAGCCCCTACTCTCTTCTGGCTTGTAGGGTTTCTGCAGAGAGATCCACTGTGAGTCTGATGGGCTTCCCTTTGTGGGTAACCTGACCTTTCTCTCTGGCTGCCCTTAACATTTTTTCCTTCATTTCAACCTTGGAGAATCTGACGATTATGTGCCTTGGGGTTGCTCTTCTTGGGGAGTGTCTTTGTGGTGTTCTCTGTATTTCCTAAATTTGAATGTTAGCCTGCCTTGCTAGATTGGGGAAGTTCTCCTGGATAAAATCCTGAAGAATGTTCTCCAACCTGGTTTCATACTCCCCATCACTTTCAGGTACACCAATCAAATGTAGATCTGGTCTTATCACATAGTCCCATATTTCGTGGAAACTTTGTTTGTTCCTTTTTGTTCTTTTTTCTCTAATCTTGTTTTCATCTTTATTTCATTAAGTTGACCTTTTATCTCTGATATTCTTTCTTTGGCTTGGTCAATTCGGCTATTGATACTTGTGTATACTTCATGGAGTTCTTGTGGTATGTTTTTCAGCTCCATCAGGTCATTTATGTTCTTCTCTAGACTGGTTATTCTAGTTAGCAATTCCTGTAACTTTTATCAAGGTTATTAGCTTCCTTGCATTGGGTTAAAACATGCTCCTTTAACTTGGAAGAGTTTGTTATTACCTACCTTTTGAAGCCTACTTCTGTCAATTCATCAAACTCATTCTCCATCCAGGTTTGTTCCCTTGTGGGTGAGGAGTTGTGATCCTTTGGAGGAGAAGAGGCATTCTGGTTTTCAGAATTTTCAGCCTTTTTGAGCTGCTTTTTCCTCTACTTTGTGGATTTATCTACCTTTGGCTGTTGCTATTGGTGACCATCCGATAGAGTTTTTGCATGGTTGTCCTTTTTATTGATGTTGATGCTATTGCTTTCTGTTTGTTAGTTTTCCTTCTAACAGTCAAGCCCCTCTTCTGCAGGTCTGCTGGAATTTTCTAGGAGTCCACTCCAGACCATGTTTGCCTGAGTATCACCAGTGGAGGCTGCAGAACAGCATAGATTGCTGCCTGTTCCTTCTTCTGGAAGTTTTGTCCCAGAGGGGTGCCTGCCAGATGCCAGCTGGAGCTCTCCTATATGTGGTGTCAGTTGACCCCTGCTGGGAGATGTCTCACTTTCAGGAGGCATGGGGGTCAGGGACACACTTGAGGAGGCAGTCTTTCTCTTAGCAGAGCTTGAGCCCTGTGCTGGAAGATCTGCTGCTCTCTTCAGAGCCAGGAGGCAGGAACATGTAAGTCTTCTGAAGCTGCACCCACATCTGCCCATTTCCCCAGGTGCTCTGTCCCAGGGAGATGGGGGTTTTATCTATAAGCTTCTAACTGGGGCTGCTGCCTTTCTTTCAGAGATGCCTTGTCCAGAAAGTAGGACTCTAGAGAGGCTGTCTGGCTACAGTGGCTTTGCTGAGCTGCAGTGGGCCCTGCCAAGTTCACATTTCCCCATGGCTTTGTTTACACTGTGAGGGGAAAACTGCCTACTCAAGCCTCATTAATGGCAGATGTTCCTCTCCCCACCAAGCTCGAGTGTCCCAGGTTGACTTCAGACTGCTGTGCTGGCAGTGAAAATTTCTTTTTTTTTCTTTTCCTTCTTCTTTTTTTCTTTTATTATACTTTAAATTCTGGGATAAATGTGCAGATATTGTAGGATTGTTACATAGGTATACACATGCCATGGTGGCTTGCTGCCTCCATCCTCTGCCATTACCTACTTTAGGTATTTCTCCTAATGTTATCACTCGCCAACCCCTGCTATCACTTCCATAGCTCTCTACCCCGCAACAGACCCCAGTGTGTGATGTTCCCCTCCCTGTGTCCATGTGTTCTCATTGTTCAATACCCACTTATGAGTGAGAACATGTGGTGTTTGGTTTTCTGTTCTTGTGTCAGTTTGCTGAGAATAATGATTTCCAGATTAATCCATGTCCCTGCAAAGGGCATGCACTAATTCTTTTTAATGGCTGCGTAGTATTCCATGGTGTATATGTGCCACATTTTCTTTATCCAGTCTATCCTTGATTGGCATTTGTGTTGGTTCCAAGTCTTTGCTATTGTAAACGTGCCACAATGAACATACGTGTGCATATGTCTTTATAATAGAACAATTTAGAATCCTTTGGGTATATACCCAGTAATTGGATTGCTGGGTCAAATGGTATTTCTGGTTCTAGATCCTGGAGAGATCACCACACTGTCTTCCACAATGGTTGCACTAATTTACACTTGGAAGTAACACCACACTCCTACAATCATCTGATCTTTGACAAACCTGACAAAAACAAGCAAGGGGAAAAGGATTCTCTGTTTAATAAATGGTGTTAGGCAAACTGGCTAGCCAGAAAGCTGAAACTGGACCCATTCCGTACACCTTATACAAAAATTAACTCCAGATAAATTAAAGATTTAAATAGAAGACCTAACACCATAAAAACGCTGGAATAAGACCTCGGCAATACGATTCAGGACATAGGCATAGGCAAGGACTTCATGACTAAAACATCAAAAGTAATGGCAACCAAAGCCAAAATAGACAAATGGTTCTTAAATTTAAGAACTTTTGCACAGCAAAAGAAACAATCATCAGAGTGAACTGGCAACCAACAGAATGGGAAAAAATTTTTGCAAGCTACCTATCTGACCAAGGGCTAATATTCAGAATCTACAAAGAACTAAAACAGATTTACAAGATAAAAATAAACAACTCCATCAAAAAGTGGGCAAAGGATATGAACAGGCACTTTTCAAAAGAAAACATCTATGCAGCCAACAAACATATGAAAAAAATGCTCATCATCACTGGTCATTAGAGAAATGCAAATCAAAACCACATTGAGATGCTATCTCGTGCCAGTTAGAATGGCGATCATTAAAAAATCTGGAGCCAACAGATGCTGGAAAGTATGTGGAGAAATAGGAATGCTTTTATACTGCTGGTGGGAGTGTAAATTAGGGCAGTGAAAATTTCAAGTCAGTGGATCTTAGCTTGCTCAGCTCCATACGGGTGGGATCTGCTGAGCTAGACCACTTGGCCCCCTGGCTTTAGCCCCCTTTCCAGGGAAGTGAACCGTTCTGTCTCACTGGCATTCCAGGCACCACTGTGGTATGAAAAACAACTGCAGCTAGCTTGTTCTCTTCCAAAACTGCTGCCCAGTTTTGTGCTTGAAACCCAGAGCCCTTGTGATGTAAGTATCTGAGGGAATCTTCTGGTCTGTGAGTGGTGAGGACAGTGGAAAAAGCATTGTATTTGGGGCCAGAATGTACCGTTCCTCAGGGCAGGGTCCCTCAAGGCTTCCCTTGGCTAGGGGAGGGAGTTCCCTAACCTCTTGTGCTTCCCGGGTAAGACAATGCCCCACCCTACTTCTGCTTGCCCTCCGTGGACTGCACCCACTGTCTTACCTGTCCCAGTGAGATGAAGCAAGTCACTCAGTTCGAAATGCAGAAATCACCTGCTTTCTCCATTGGTGTCACTGGGAGCTGCAGACCAGAGTGGTTCCTATTTGACCACCTTGCCTGGGAGCTCCTAGAATCTATGTAATTTTTCTAATTTGAGATTTTTCTGTGGATGGCCCAGTGTTTTCCTGTTCCAGTTGAAATCAGTTGCTCTTTAGGCTTTCTTCATAAGTGAGATTTATTTTCACTTTATTCTGGTTTACTTCTGTTGTTGCTATTTCTTGTATCTTTCTGTTTCTTGATTTCCATTCTTATTTTGATTAGGTCATCCTCAGTGACTTGCTCAAGGAATATATGGGAGATAAATTTCCTGAATTCTTGAATATCTGAAAACATATTTATTTTAACTCACATATAAAAATAGATAATTTAGGTTTAAATTTTCCCATAAATTCTGAATGCATTACACTAATTTTATTTTTTAACATTTAATGATGACAAAAGCAAAATGATTGCAATTTTTTTTTTTTTTAGCAACCTTTTATTATTTTCTTTTACTTCGGAAGCACTTTAGGATATTCCCTTTCTGTTAGGGATATAAAATAGCATGAAACTTTGTCTAGCTTCTTTTTCTTTAATTAGATTGGAAATTTTGATGATTCCAAATATTTTCTGTCTTCACTTTGTAGAAGTTCAATCACCTAGATGTAGATCTTTTATGTCTCTTCTCCGTTAGCTCAAATTCTCTTCTCTTTGCCTTTTTTCTCTGTGTTTCGGGAAAATTCTTTGACTTTATTTTTCTGTTTGTCTGATGGTAATCATGACTGACATTTATGGAAGCTTTTTTGCCATCTCATTATATAGCAGACTTCTTGTTTTATAGATGCTATGTTTCAGAAGCCAGTAGAGCGTAAGGCTAAAGAATAGAGACTTTAGAAGACCTGCCTGCATATCTAGGCTCAGTCACTTACTATGTGACATTAGAAATGTTTCTTAATTTCTCTGAATCTAGAGTTCTCTATCTGCTTTTTTATAGGGACACTAGGAACATTTAATTAGATTAAGCATGTGAAATTCTCAGTTCAGAGCTTGGCACATAGTAAGCTCTAAATAAATGCTAGCTTTTTGCTTTCTTGAACTTCACTGATGAATACAATCTCAGTTTTTCTCTTGGTCTTTCTCTTATATGGAGGCAATATGTTTAATTATTTCCAATTTTCTGTTTATGTTTGAGAGTATGGAACTAGATTCATCATCTGGGTAGGTAGTATATTTTTTTTCTCTGCAATTACACACACACATTTTCCACATAAGCAGATTCTCCTGAATAGAGAAGCTTTTTGGAAACTCTCTGGATGTGGATGGGTCTTATAAATGTCAGTCTGTGTTCTAGGGTGAATGAACAGAAACCTTCCTCTTAGGCTGAGAAAGCATAAATGCCAGAATAGGTAGGTGCCAACTTCAATATCAATAGTCTAGTTTCTGCAGCAGTTATTCAAATCTGCAGAGAGAATTCTTTTAGATTTATTTATTTACTTATTTATTTTTGCCTGGATATAAATGATAAGCTGTTGGTGGCTTTGCCTTTATGTTCTGGCAGAAAGAGGTGGTCTCTCTGGGTAGCCTTTCTGCAGACAGAATTTTACCTCTTTTTTGTTCAGCATCTTTTTTCCCTACTATCAACTGTGTCTGCTGGCTTTAGCACAGAGCATGTTCAGAGTATTCATTCCCTGGTTACAGCATCTTCTTTTCTGTTTATTCTTAACACGTTGCCTGCAACTTTCTTCCTCTTAGGAATTTAATAATTTGACTGTGAAACCCCCAATTATTTTAATATATTTTCCCTTTTGTGTTGATTTTTATCATTTTAATGGCACCGTTGTCTTTGAACAAACGAGGCAAACATTCTGCTCTGTTCTTCAAATTGAACAAGAAACCTCCAAGTCTGTTTACTTCTCCTTAATTCATTCATTTTGCAACCCATCTTTCATTCTACAAGCATCCCTTAAGCATATATAAATGTGCTTGTCACATACGAGAAGATGGATGTAGAGCAATGATTATCTTCATGACTCTCACATTTATTGTATCATGCATGAATACTGTAACCAAATTCAACAATAAGGGGTTTTATTTTAGGAGTAATGGATGTAAATGCAATAAACATGGAAGCATTGTACATTTTTCTCATATTAGATAATATTCTTAAGTTGAAAATAATGATTAAATTAGGCGAGAACATATAAGGGGCATATTAGATATTCACAGCAACTACGGATGTTTTAGAAAAATGATTTGTAGTGATAAGAACAGCAGGATATAAAAGATTTCAAAGGTAGTTGATTAAAGGAGCAGCCACCATGGGATCGGGAGGGGGTGGAGGCTGCACCCCGCGCCCACCCATCGGCCAGCAGCTGCCGGATTGCCGCGTGGTCGCCGTCGTCTTCCTCGGCCTCCTGCTGGACCTCCTGACCTTCACGCTGCTGCTGCCCCTGCTGCCCGGGCTACTGGAGAGCCACGGCCGTGCCCACGATCCCCCTGTGTCTCCTGGCAGCGCTGAGTGGACTGGTTTGCCACCACCATTGGGATGCCAGTGGAGAAGAGGTACAACAGCATCTTGTTAGGAGATCTGATTGGCTCGGCCTTCTCTGTTCTACAGCTTCTGGCTGTGCCACTCACTGGGGCCACCTCTGACTGCTTGGGGAGGTGCCCCGTGAGGCTGCTGTCTCTGACGGGTGTGGCCACCTCATATGCCGTCTGGGCCAACTCTGGGAGCTTTGCGGCCTTCCTGGCATCCAGGCTGATTGGGGGCATCAGCAAGGGGAACGTCAGCCTCTCCACGGCCATCATTGCTGACCTGGGCTCGCCTCTGGCCTGCAGCCAAAGCAAGGCGGTCATCGGGGTGGCCTTCTCCCTGGGCTTCACCCTGGGCCCTATGCTTGCAGCCTCGCTGCCCGTAGAAATGGCACCCTGGTTTGCCCTGCTCTTCGCAGCCTCAGACCTGCTGTTCATCTCCTGCTTCCTGCCAGAGATGCTGCCTCTGGAGAAATGGGGCGCCCTCTATCGCCCTAGGGTTCCGCGGTGCCGCAGATCTACTCAGCCCCCTGGCCCTGTTGCGCTTCTCCGCTGTGGCTCCTGGCCAGGACCCACCCACTGGAGACAGATTCAGCAGCCTGCGCCGCTTGGGCATAGTGGGCTTCCTCTACCTCTTCCTGTTCTCGGGCCTGGAGTACACGCTGAGCTTCCCAGCACAACAGCGCTTCCAGTTCAACAGCCTGCAGCAGGGGAAGATGTTCTTCCTCATCCACCTCATCATGGCCACCATCCAGGGTGCCCGTGCCTGGCGGATCCACCCTGGCAGGAAAGTCTCTGTGATGAAGCCAGCCCTCATGCTGCTGGTGCCTGCCTTCCTCCTCATCGGCTGGGACCATTCTCTGCCAATGCTAGGCCTGGGGCTGCTGCTCTACTCCATTGCCTCTGCGGTTGTGGTGCCCTGCCTGTCCTCCGTGGTTGCTGGCTAAGGCTCGCCAGGGCAGAAGGGCATGGTCATGGGCACACTGCACAGCCTAGGCACTCTGGCCAGGGTCATGGGGACCCTGGTGGCCGCTTCAGTGTGCTGGCTGGCCAGAACCCAGGCCTGCTTCACTGCGTGGTAGGAGCTCTTCCTGCTCCCCTTCCTTGTCCTGCGAAGCTGAGTTGTCCAGCGCAGACGTTCAAGGCTGAGTAGCTGAGCCATTGCACCCTGCTTGCCTGACCCCCTCCTTCCCAGTCCAGGGAGATCCAGTGGGTGGGGGAGGAAGCCCTGGCAGCTCCTTCGGCCTCACTCCTTTATGATTCCCAGCAGTAGCACTCCAAGGCTGTTCGAGTTTCTGTGTGTGTGTTTTGTTTTTTTGTTTTTGTTTCTTTTTTTACTATGCACCAGGTTTCTGATAACAGAATAAAGCAGCTATTTTATACCAAAAAAAACAAAATCAAGTTTGTTTTTATTGATTGTAGAGAGAATTAAAGCATTGGGTGAGCAGAGATGCCAGAGATTTTTTTTTGGCCGCATTCATGATTGCTTTGGTAATAATAGATATTGATGAGAGTAATGATGATAATTAGCAATTTTTAACCTCCTACTATGTGACAGATACTGTTCTAAGCTCTGCTATGTTTTTCACACAGCTTTGTGAAGTAAATACTGTTAAAATTCATTTTACAAACTGAAAAACAGCTTTAAAAAGGAAAAGTTATCAGCACAAGGACATTACGAGAAATTTAAGACAGCGCTATCTCTTTTGTTTTATTTTTGTTACCTATTTCAGAAAAACAACAACAACAACAACTATAAAATATGCGTAGGGTATACAAAGTGAATATACAACAGTTAAGGGAACAATTGCCTTTGAAGTTTCTTGACCCATCCCATTGTCATCTGTCTGTGCCTCCTAAGAGATACTATTTTGAAGTTTGCGGCTATAGTTTCCTTGCTTTTTCTTTATAGCATTATCTGTATTTCTTTATTCTAAACAATATATTGTTTGTTTTTTCATACATTTAAAGTTATATAAATGAAAGCATTACATTTGTCAAGCTGTTCTATAACCTGCTTTTTCATTTAATGTTATATTCCTGACATTCATCTGTATTATTGCATGCCCTGGTAGTTACTCATTTTCATTTCTATATAGTATTCCCCAAAATTAGTATACCATGCTTTTTAATCAACTTTACTCTTGAATTATGTTTCACCATTACAAAGAGTGCTGGATGCATATTCTCGTGCATTCTCCTATACATGAATATATAGACACATATATATGTAACATGACAAAATGTATACGTACGTACACACACACCTAGGATTTGTATTGTTAGCTTACAGTGTATGAATGTATGTACATCTTACTGCATAATACCAATTTGCTTCCCAAATTACATTACCCAACTTTTGGAGTATTATTTATTGCTCCTTTTGTAGAGTTGCTATGTTTATTATTAGTCATTGTTTGATTGACATGTGAGCTTTATATATTTAAGCTAGTATTTTAACATATTACAAATATTATCTCTCAGTTGTGTGCCTTGAATTTTTACTTTTAAAGTATGATATCTTTTGATAAACAGAAGTTCTCAATTTGGTATAATCCAGGATATCTTCATAATTTGGGCTTTTCATGTTTAGGAAATCATTCCTTACCCCAGAACATTAAGTATATTATTTTCTCTCATTTTTTTTCAAATTGTAAACTTTCATCTTTTACACTTAGTTCTTTAATCTACACACAATTTTTTTTGTCTATGGTATAAGTAGGGATCTAATGTGATTTGTCTTCTACTTTGTTTCAGCCTCTTTTACTGAAAAGTCCATTCTTTTTCTACAGGCCTTTAATTCAGGCCTATAATTAATCAAGCTTCCATATGTCTTTGATTCTGGGCCCTTCTTACTGCTCCCATTCTATTTGTCTATCCCTAATCTGCACAATCTTAAACTACAGTCTGATATTCTGGATACTTTATAGCTTAAAAAATCATAAGACTTGATAACTGGCATGACAGGTCCTCCTACCTTGTTTTTATTTGGTAATGTGTTGGCTATTCTTGATAATTAGTTTTTCCAATAGACACATTTTAGAATTAGCTTGTGATAGACAGATACATACATACATAGGTAGATCCATAGATGGATAGGCAGATATTTAGGTAAATAGATACCACTACTGTCACCAAAATTAATCCATTAATTCTTTCTTTGTAATTGTATTGATTCTATAGATCAATTGGGGTAGAACTGACATCTATATATTATATAATTTTCTAATATATGAATATGGTACATCTATCCATTTGTTTAGTTTCCTTTGATATTTTGAAAAGCTGTATAATATTTTCAGAAAGGTATTGCATATATTTTGTTAAGTGTAATCTTAACTACTTTGTGGATTTTTTTCGTGCTATTTTAAAGTAATACTTTTATTACATTTTCTGACGCCTTGCTACTGGTATTTTAAAATGCAATTGGTTTTATATTGTTTTGTTTTCAGTAACCCTTCGAAAATGTTTTATTAATCCTAGTAACAAATAGAAAGTGCTTAGCTCTGCACCCTATTCATTTATTTTGTCTTTTCTGTTTGATGTTTGAAATCACAGTTTTTCTATGCACAATTGATTAAAGTGCTTGGTATTAGCGCTATTCTTTGACTAGGACTTTGAGGCCTCTGAGGAAAATCCTTACAGATACATTTTACTTGCAGGGCTTGAACCCTAGCTGCTGCAACAAGCATATCATTTGCTTTGTTTTGCCCTGAATTCTTTTGTTCTTATCATTGCTTTGGAATATGCATCTTGCTCATAGTTCTGCTTCTCTGTTCGGCTTAACACTAACTGAGCTTCTATAGAAGCTAAATATTGGTACAGACAGTGGACTGGGTGCTAGGGATACGAGAATGGACAAGTCAGTTCTTGTTTTCTAGTAATTTAGGGTCTAGTGGACTTTCTGGCTGACTCGTTCCTGATTAAATTGTTTATTGTTAAGGATAATTTATCTTCTTTAGGAAGTTCCACTTTTGATGGGCATTTACTAGAAGCAAAACATTCTTGTGGGTGTTCCCATGTGTTTTTTTCTTTGTGATTAAACAAATAAACATGTGTGTTATTCATTGGCCCATCCTTGATTCTGTAGCACTTTTGTCATTCGCTCTTTACTTCTGAGGGTGTCTTGGGATAGTCAAAGAGTTAGAAGATGAGTATTTCGATGGAATGGACATGGTCTTCCAGCTCCTGAGTTTGGTTGCAGATATCTATTTGGTGAAGGGAGCATCGGGGCCAAGACTGGCGTATAGAGAATCTTACATGGCCCAATTCCTTTTGAGATCTACTTTTGGTAATTTTTTGTCTTGTATTTCTAAAAATATCTTGGGCACTTCATTTTCAATTTTGAAAGTCAGAGCAGTGTTTGAATTAAGATTGGTATTGTTTTTACATCAACCTTTTACCTATGATGTGGAGAGAATCCATTCCCACTGGCTTTGTGTGGCCTAGAAAGGCTGCTGGGCTTAGATGTGTAGTCATTTTTCCATCTGAGAAGACTCTTACAACATTTTCCATTCTAAAGTTAATGAGAATATGGCCAAGAGATAAGTCACTTTTTCTCAGTACATGGTAATGGGCTTATTAGTGTCCCTGTTTAAACTCACCTTAGAGCACTTTCCATAAGCTAAGAGAAAAAGTCCTTGGGACACTGATTAAATAAATTATCACACATTCATATGATAGAAAATCATCCAACACCTAAAAGGATTCAAAGAATTATTAATGTTATGAGAAAATGTTTATGATAAAATGCTAAGTGAAATTAGCAAAATGAACTGTGTGTTTCATATTATTAACGTTCAGTTAATAATATGTATATATTAATAATAATAAACATTATTTATTAAATACATTAATTAAATACATTATTTATTAAATACATTATTTATATAAATACATTATTAAAATGTATTTATTAATAATAATAAACATTGCTGTGTGTTTCATATTAACATTCACTGAGATATATGAATGATTCTTGTATTTTTTTCTGTTTTGTTTTCTCCTTTAAGTTTTAAAAATTTATATGTATTGTTTTTCCAATTCGAGTAACATTTTCCAAAAAATAATAAAAAGTTATTTATTTATTTAGCAAAAGAGTCTCATTCCATTGCCCAGGCTGGAGGCTCCATTATTTCTCACTGCAGCCTTGAATTCTGGGCTCAATTGATCCTTCTGCCTCAAGTAACTGTGGGACTACAGGCACAGGATCACCACATCTAGCTAAAATTTATTTTTTAAAAAAGAAAATATCACATAAATACAACCAGTGTGATGAACTGAGGCAATACAGGGCTATTTCCTTTGGAAATTTAAAAATTTGGTGCATGCCTGTAGTCCCAGCTATTCAGGAGGCTGAGGCAGGAGAATTGCTTGAGCCCAGGAAGCCAAGGTTGTGGTGAGCCGAGATCGTACCATTGCACTCCATTGTGGGTAACAAGAGAGAAACTCCGTCTCAAAAAAGAAAAAAGAAATTTGACTAATTTTAAACAATTTTTGCTTGGTTACTGAAATTTTAAGTTCACTTTAGAATTTCTTGTCAACCCTACTTGGGTGCCAGGATTGTTGGAGGTGGGCTGGGAGCAGTGCAATGCGGTATGAGAACATCTGGGTGGGGAGTCAGTATTTAGGAGGATCAATGACAGCGGCAAGTTTAGATAGCTGTCAATGAGTAAGTAGCAGAGCCTGAGTGTCAGGGTGCAGATTTTTTACAGGAGGGTGGTGACTCTGGAAATAATTATAGCTGAAAATGAAGGTAAAAATAAGCCATTCATGATCCCTGGGGATGCAGTCCAGGGAGCCGAGGTATTAGGAAATTCTTATGTAGGAAAATATGGTAAGATATTAAACTAGTCACTGAATTGAAGCTTAATCATCAAGAAGAAATCAAGAGCCACGTTAGTGGCAGGCCATGGTATAGGCCTATTTAAAGCCTCGATGCTGAGTGACCACAAAATAAACTCTTTCATTCTAATCCTCCCCAATCTATCTACCCCTTGCTGGTTGCCGTCTACACGTACCTTTCATAGAATTTACCATATGTTTGAGCAGTAGACAATGTGCTAATGCTATAGGCAGAATCTCATCTTAATTACTGCTGTTATAATCTCTGACCCTTTAGTATACAGTCATTTCCTTCTCCTGGCAAATTGCTGAAATCAAATGAAATGAAACAAAAGCTCTTGTAGAACAGCAATATATATAACAATATATAAAACAGTCCCTTTCCACACAGCAGTAAATTTCTGAAATGAAGCCTCTATGCTTTGAAATTAAGCTTTGGTGATAAAACCAGAAAGTCATGCCCTGTCTTAGCCATCTGATTTTGTCAGATCATTGCAATATTCTGTATCTCTATTTCCTTTCTGTAAGTACATAATGTATTTTTCTCCAGCTGTGAAGTCCAAGGTCAAAAGATAATAATGTATGTGAAAACATCAAGTACATAGTTATGTTTTATAGATGCTAGGTATTAACATTATTATTCTTTAATTAGAATGTTCTTAAATGTGGGCAGGTTTCTGAAAACTTGCGATGGAGTTTGTGTTTGGTGTTAGAGAGTGGGAGAGGGACAAAGTGGGGGGTTCATTAACTGGTGCACCCATTTGAGATGCTGAGCTTCATATGTCTCCCTTTCAAGGTTTTAAAGGAGAAAAAAAATAGCACATTCCTGGAACCTGGCTTATTTTTAATATAAGAAAAAGAGGATCTCAATTTAATACAATATTCTTTTCTGCATCATATAGAAATAGATATTAATATAATTTTTAAATAAAGCAGTTTAATATTTAATCAATTTAATTACATAAGGCTTTTTTTTTTTTTTTGCTCCAGTTTATTTCTTTCTTCTATATAGGCCCCCAGCTTTGAAAATCTATTAAAACTTTTCAAGTTTCCAGGCCAACATCTTCTATTATCTGATTTTTTGATTATGGCCCTTTTTGCAGGAGTAAGGTGGTATCACATTGTGGTTTTGATTTGCATTTCCCTGATCAGGAGTGATGCTGAACATTTTTTCATATGTTTGTTGGCCATTTGTATTATCTTCTTTTGAGAATTGTCTATTCGTGTCCTTAGCCCACTTTTTAACAGGATTTTTTTTTCTTGCTAATTTTTTGTGCTCATTGTAGATTCTGGATATTAGTCCTTTGTCAGATGTATAGATTGTGATTTCCTCCCACTCTGTGAGTTATCTGTTTACTCTGCTGACTATTCCTTTTGCTGTGCAAAAGCTCTTTAGTTAAATTAAATCCAAGCTATTATCTGTGTTTTTATTGAATTTACTTTTAGGTTCTTGGTCATGAAATCTTTGCCTAAACCCATGTCTAGAAGGATTTTTCCAATGTTATCTTCTAGAGCTTTTAGTTTCAGGTCTTAGATTTTAGTCCTTAACCACCTCAAGTTGATTTTTGTATAGGTGAGAGATGAGGATCCAGTTTTATTCTCTTACATGTGGCTAGTCAATTATTATTCCAGCACCATTTGTTTAATATGATGCCCTTTCCCTATTTTAGGTTTTTGTTTGCTTTGTTGAATGATCACTTGGGTGTAAGTATTTGAGTTTATTTCTGTGTTCTCTATTCTGTTCCATTGGTCTATGTGCCTATTTTTATACCAGTACCATGCTGTGTTTTGGTGCTTATGGTCTTATAGTATAGTTTGAAATCAGGTAATGTGATGTTTCCAGGTTTGCTCTTTTGCTTAGTCTTGCTTTGGCTATGTGGGATCTTTTTTGGTTCCATATAAATTTTTAGATTTTTTTTTTCTAATTCTGTGAAGAATGTTGATGGTATTTTAATGGGAATTGCATTGAATTTGTAGATTGCTTTTGGCAGTATGGTCATTTTCACAATATTGATTCTACCCATCCATGAGCGTGAGGTGTGTTTTCACTTGTTTGTGTCATCTGTGATTTCTTTCAGCGGTGTTTTGTAGTTTTCCTTGCAGAGATCTTTTACCTCCTTCATTAGGTATATTCCTAAGTATTTTTTTTTTCTTTTACAGCTATTATAAAAGTGGTTGAGTTACTGATTTGATCCTCAGTTTGGTCACTGTTGGTGTATAGAAGAGCTACTGATTTGTGTACATTAACTTGGCATATTTAAAATTTGTTGCATTCATTTATCAGTTCTAGGAACTTTCTGGAGAATTCTTTAGGGTTTTCTAGGTAAACAATCATATCATCAGCAAACAGAGACAGTTTGACTTCCTCTTTACCTATTTGGATGCCCTCTATTTCTTTCTTTTGTCTGGTTGCTCTGGCTAAGGCTTCCAGTACTATGTTGAAGAGGAATGGTGAGAGGGGGCATCCTTGTCTTGCTCTAGTTCTCAGAGGGAATGCTTTCAACTTTTCCCAGTCAGTATTATGGTTGCTGTGGGTTTGTCATAGATGGCTTATATTACATTGAGGTATGTCGCTTGTATGCTGATTTTGCTGGGAGTTTTAATCAAAAGGGATGCTGGATTTTGTCGAATGCTTTCTCTGCACCTCTCTAAATCTTGTGTATGTTAAACTATTGCTGCATCCCTGGTATAAAACCCACTTGATCATGGTGGATTATCTTTTTGATCAAAAAGTGGATAAAGAAACTGTGGCATATAAATATGATGCAATACTACTCAACCATAAAAAGGAATGAATTAATGTCATTGACAGCAACCTGGATGAAATTGGTGACTATTATTCTAAGTGAAGTAACTCAGAAATGGAAAACCAAACATTGTATGTTCTCACTGTTAAGTGGGAGCTAAGCTATGAGGATGCAAAGGCACAAGAATGACACAATCGACTTTGGGGACTCAGTGGGGAAGGCTGGGAAGGGGGTGGGGATAACAGACTACAAATTGGGTGTGGTGTATACTGCTTGGGTTATGGGTGCACTAAAATCTCAGAAATCACCATGGAAGAACTTACTCATGTAACCAAACACCACCTGTCCCCCAATAACCTATGGACATTAAAAAAAAAAAAAGTTTTCTAGCTTCTCTTATATTTTGAAGAACATTCTAATTTTACTAGTAGGTGATAGGCAGAACGTTTCTTATCAGGCTCTGGAAACTCACATTTTAGTCTCAGGTTTATCTTAGAAAGTCCATCTTCTGTTCTTTTATATGAGCATTTTTTAATCTCATGCTTTTGTTACTCTCAATACATTTCATAAAAAGTTAACTAAAATTTTATTTGAGAATTATCTTGAACTTTTTGGAATAAAGATGCATTATTAAAGTTATTAATATTTGCTTATTTTTAAAGTTATTTACTCTAAATGTACTAAGTGTTTATTGGCTTGAATATTATAATTGCTATGCTCTGTACCACACGGGTCAGCATTTTTGAGACATTGCAAATAGGATGATGTCTATATTTTATAAGCTGGTTTTAAGGCTTTCCACAACCAGACACGCTCCAATTGCTCCCATCTGAACTCCCAGGGCTTTTCTCTACTTTCTCTGAATTGCTCTAATCTCTATACTCATCCATTTCTACCCTCTCTCCCTCCACCTCTCTAAATCTTGTACTAGTTTCTCTGTGACTCATTTTCTAACTCATCAGGTCTACACCAATCTCTCAGAAAGTTTATAGCAGTTATATTTACTTGGTGCTTATTCTAAATTACTATTTGCCTTTTTAGTGTGTGTTCCTCCACCTCCACATTGACAGTAGATTTTTTTGGAGGGCAGTCACTATTTCCTATGTGATATTTTTACTCTTTAAACACCAACATAATACTTTACCCAAAGCAGAGTTTGGATATAAATTTGGAATTGACCATTGTAATTTCCAATTATTGTTGCA